CGCCGTCCTTTAATTTCTTCATACAGCGGGAATCCAATAACCATCAAAGTCACTCCAATAGTGCTCCTTAATTACACTTTCATCCTCCTTTAACAAAATACTTCACATTCATCCAGTTTGTGACAGTAGTTGTAGCATTTTGAGACCCTTGTGTGTGTGTGTGTGTGGGTGGGGGGGGGGGCGCAACTTCCAACATGAGTCATTTGGGGGGCCTCTTGGGAAAAAAGGTTGGGAACCACTGCTTTAGAGGGCGATACAGCCTACAGATGTATCAGTGAGACATGAACTGTTTGGGACCATTTTTTAAAATCTTAAATATAAATGATAAGAGTTAAAGATGTTGCTTTGATTCAATGAAGTCGTTTTGTAGCTAGCACTTTGACTGAGTTCACACTAAGCTGGCTGCATTTATTTTGTCTTATTTATAAAGAATTGTCCTCAGGGTGGAAATGGAAAAGCCAGCCTTGTGTTTTTAGTTATTTCTCTGAATAAGTCTATATCATTATGTATACATTATATTAAGCTGTTTGTTTACCTAAACATAGACTTTAAATGCTGTTAAAGTGTGTAAAAACGCATAGAAATCGTACAGAAAAAGCGGAGAATGATAATGCAGCTAACCTTGTAAGCTTGCAAAAGGAAGAACTACAAAACAGGAAGTGCCCATAAACCAAAACAAAACCAAAGAGGTGGTGTTGCTGATGGTAAACGGGGCATCAGGTGTGAAGTCCTTGGTGAGGCTGGGGCAGTATCACTGTGTATGGTGAACACACACTCACAGGACAGTGGCACAGTTTCAGAAACACCCTCAGGGGTCCGTGTGGAGTTATTTCCACGCTTCCTCAGTCAGAGAGAGAGAGAGAGAGAGAGAGAGAGAGAGTGTTTACGCTCAGCTGCAGCGGAGTTTGGCGAGGAAATAGGCCACACTGAGAAAGATCCAGACCACCATCAGGTTGGGGCTGAAGGCCAGCAGGGGCAGCGAGTACAGGAGGCTGGGGTCCAGCCTGAGGTCCCGCACCGGCAGCAAGCCGCTCAGGTTCTTCTGGATCACCCCCTCCCTCGTCCCAATTCTGAGGCACGGGGAGGAGGAGGGAGGAGGTGTGGAGCGGCAAAAAAAGGTTGGATGATAGGGAAGGTGGTGCAAGAGCGGGACGTAGAAAAGCAGGTTTGAAGGAGGAAATGAAAAGAGGAAACAAGGAGAGGAAATAAGCATGACAATGAAAGATGGCAAAAGGGAAGGAGGGAAGTGCCCAAATAAAGATGGCATGTATATATGCATGCACAGTTGAGAAATGGAAAAGTAAAAGGTGATACCGGCGAATAATCACAATGACAAAGAATAGACGATAGACAGCCGTTTCCATGGTGTGACATAAGAATGTTAATAAGTCATTCAAATCAACAGGTGGAAATTAATTACAAACCAAACCACAACAGAAAATGAGCCAAATCATGACGAAGAGGAAGAGGGGAAAACAAGAGAAAAAGAGAAAATTAAGAAAGATGTTTCCACGTCTTTCAGAAAAAAGGAAAGAAGATAAGTAAAACAGCAATGGCTCACCATGTTTAGATATTTTATGACATGAGGTGAGGAAGGAGGAAGGGAAACGTGTCCAGAGGAATGGGCTGCATCAATTGGAAAACCAAGATGCAGGAAAACACCCTTTAAATGTAGGATTATGCGACATTTTGAAGTTTGAACTATATACACTATAGGCGCTTTCACACCAAGTACTTTGCCGTACTTAATTCATCAGAACTTAATTCATCAGAACTCTTTAGTTCATGAGAACTTATTTAGTTCTCATGAACTAAAGAGTAGATCGCGTTCACACCGGAATAAGTCCCTGGGGGTGGATTAGGCAAATGAAGCCGCTGACGTCACTTCTTCTTCTTCTGCTTTGGGTTTACTGGCAGGCCGCAAACAACTTCACGGCGTATACTGCCACCCGGAGTCCCCGGCCGGAAGTCCCCGGAGTTGGGGACTGGCTTCAGTAGAAGCTTCTGGGACTCCCAGCAGCTTCTACTGAAGCCTTCTGAGTAAATCGCCAGAACGCCGACACCTCCTCATCTCCACGTTTTAATTTGTGTTGCCATAAGTTAGTCTCTCTCAGTTGGTGCGCTGGGCTAATGCTAATAATGTTAATGCGAGCAAATAAAATGGCGGCTTCACAAAACTTTTCAGAGTTTTACGGGGCGTGGTTTGCAACCCGCCCATCCAGTCAGAAATGGGAACCTTTTTCTCCCATGAAAGTACCTGCTCTCTAGCAGGGACTGAAAAGGGGGTGAAAAGGTTCTCATGAACTAAGTTCTAGTTCCGGATTTTTTTGGTGTGAACGCACATTTTCAGAACTATATCGGAACTATACCGGGAAAAGTACTCCGGTGTGAAAGCGCCTAATGTGTTTGCAAGCGGATAAGAAATACAACACTTTTAGAAGGATTATTTGTTTAAGAGAAACGCTAACATGCAGTAAGTATCTGTTTCAGATTTCACTTCAAAATGTATTTAAAGGATGCACTTATTCATAGTGAACTTATTATAGTGGGGGGTATATCTTCAAGCTTTTTCTAACATGCGTCACAGCTCCAAATCATTCCTAAGAGCATGAATAAAAGTGTTATAATGATCAAAAAGCTGCTTTCATGCTCGCCGGCTGATGAGGAGAAGAGGAGGAGACAGGGAGAGATGTGAGGAGAGGAAAAGGTGAAGAGATGTCGTACCATGCCAGTATTGGAATGACAGTTCCACTTTATAATCACATCTTCTTTTACATTCAAATATCACAAAGTCACATTGAACTCCACTTTGAACACACACACATTTTCAGACAGAAATATACAAACACTTTTCAAATCTGCTCGTGGATCATTTCAATAAAGCCGTTTGGGGAACATACATTCCTTTAAGTGCCCCTAAAGTCTCCCTTTTATGCCTTTTTTTTTAGTAGATGTCGAAACCACAAACTGTTTAAAATGTTTTGGAAAGGTATTTAAATAACATATTTTTTGGAAAGGTATTTAAATAACATATTTTTTGGAAAGGTATTTAAAGAACATATTTTTTGGAAAGGTATTTAAAGAACATATTTTTTGGAAAGGTATTTAAATAACATATTTTTTGGAAAGGTGTTTAAAGAACATATTTTGTGGAAATCTGTGGTTTTAAGATGTTTTTTCTCAGTTGCAAAAGTAAAGAAATCTGTTGTACACTTTAAAATGTAAATACAACAAAATCTTGTATTATTTTTAGATGTTAATCTTACTCGTGTTTTTCACCCTTTCTGAATCATCTTTTAAAATATGCAAAATCTATTTTCATTTTAAAACATTTTTGTACTGATGCATGTATGATTTGGCCATGCTGCGAGCAATATTTAGACAACAAATAAAGTGTTTTAGTCTAACACTGACTGAAAAGTAAATGTTTTAACACCACCTTATTGTAACGGAAGAACGGAAGGAAAGAAGGAGGCACGAAGGGAAACAAAAGATGGCGCCGATAGAAGATGAAGTGCTCCGATGATACAGATAAATAAAAACACTGCCAGCCTGTTAGGGACTCAGAAACTTCACCGACGAGACAACGATGGAAAGACAGAACAAACGGAGCAAGAAGCACTCACACAATCCAAAGAGGATCCTCTCACTTTGAAATCCCTTAGGTAGCTCTTTCCTCCAGACCTTTGTCTCAGAAAGAAAGTGAACTAACTGTTTGACAAGAGTTTGGTGAAGTAAGCTGCCATGAGAACTTCGAAAGGTTCAAGTATCCTCTTTCAGACAAACCGCCAACTTTGGATCAGTTTGCTTCACAGAGGAAACAGGCAACGTTTGTTTAAAATCACACATGGGCAAAACATCGTACGTGTCCGGATTCCATTTGTTTTCCTTTGACTTTAGTGCTTTCAATACATATTTAGAGAAAAATACTTTTTTTTGCCCTTGTATGATTTTCAGTTGTTTGTTTTTTTTCCATTCAGGCACTGTGAGGGCGTCCTACCTGCGCATGCAGTCGAGGGCCTGCGTGAAGACCTGCGGTGCCATGCCGTGCTCGTGCTGCAGGATCAGGCACTGCTCCAGAGTCACCGACATGGCCGTGCGGTCTTTGGCGCTTTTGCAGCTGGTGAAACGCACGCCGTTCAGCCGGCGGCAGATCTGAGGCAGAGAGGGAGGGAAGGTTTAAGTGAGAGACCCTAAGTGGCAGGAATACCATATTGAGCAGATTGTGTGAGGCTTTCAATTCTTTCATACGTTTTGTAGTAATATTTGATGTACTTAAAAAGCAGGATCTCTACCTCAGCAGCCTGCCACAGGATGTCTACGTTCTTGTTTTTCCTGGCGTGGACGTTCTGCCCCAGGAACCTCAGCAGCTCGGGGAGACACGTCTGAGAGCGAGACCTGGGGAGGCCTGAGGGGGGTTTGGAGGTGGAACATGAAAAATGAGGAAGAAAGAAGAAGAGAAAATTGACCAAAGTATCTGTACAAATAGCGGTTAGCTCTGACAGAAAGTGCTATTCAGATCCTTTACTTAAGAACCACAACGTTAAAGTACTCCATTACAAGTAAAAGTCCTGCATTTAGAAACTCTTCAGTAAAAGCACAGAAGTATTGTCAGCTAAATGTCCATAAAGTTTGAAAAGAAACAGTAAAAGTTGTAGTTCTTACATTTAAAAAAAAAATGTAATGTAATCTACAAGTGGCACGATGTCGACGTATTACAAGTCAGTAACTAAATGTACCTCTACTGCTGGATCTATCTGTCATTGATTCTTAAAGCTAACATTCTGCCACTGCACCAACTGGAAGTAAGAGGATGCTCCCTGCCTCGATGTTATTGTTAGTATTTGCTCAACTTCACACACACTTTATTACTTACAGTCCTCAGGCAGCACTTCTTTGAACTGCTCGTAGTAAGAGTTCAGTCTGGAGAGACTCTCCATGTTGATGACCTCCTGCAGGGATGTGTCTCCAAACCTGAAACACAGAAGGAAAACTAAATGTTTCCTTCATGGCTCAAAGCACCACATCCTGCTAAAAGTTGCTAAATGACAAAACCTCAGCCCTGTTTCCTCCCCTCCTCACTCACTTCTCAGCGAGCGTCTGCTGCTCGTTGATGCCGACGTTGAAGTGCACGGGCTGGACCCTCAGCAGCATGCCGCTCTGGATCTCCCGTGGCAACGCGTCGAACATGGTCCCCGGCAAAGGGATGCGGACATTGAAGCCATCCCGGTTCCCCGTGATGATCGGCAGCATGTCGGGGGCGGAGCTGCCGGTGGCCTGGGTCACCTGAAGGGAACATGCAGCCATGGAAATACATTTATTTTTAAAGAACAAACCAAAAGTTTCGTATCATTAATTGCAAACTAAGCTGAATTCAGTAAATGTTAGGAACTTTAGGAGAATAAATGGATTCTTAAAATAGATGCCACAAGCTCTCAAGTGATTAATCATAGCAGCGCTGGTAAAAATGATTCTTGGCAAAGTAAAACAGAAGTAACAAAAGCATCCAAGTTGACATCTTGGATACTAAACTACGGCAAAAAACAACAGAAGAATAGTCTAGCAGAAATGTTGTTTTTTTATTTCCATGCAGCTACAAAATCCTCATGGTGACAATCAGACATCTTCCTACCTTGAAGGTGACGTTGCGAAGATCCATGATGCCGACACTCATGTCCTCCAACATGGCCAACTCCTCTCCTGAAAACACAAACATGGGTCACCATTAACACCTGATTATTGTGAAAGAGGTGTGTGAGTGTGTGTGTGTGTGTGTGTGTGTGTACCGTAGGTGCTGAGCAGGGACTCGAACTGAGCGAGCAGGCCGATGGTGTAGAGTTGTCGGAGAAATCCATTGTCACGGAGACAGTTCCTCAGTTTGATAATGAACCCGCAGATCAGAGCGGTGAGCTGCAACACACACATATTTACATGAGGTCATAGACAAAGGGAGGCTGTTTGTGTTATATACTATCCCTTTATAAATACTATCGCTTTACATATATATGCACACACACCATTTTTCAATTGAATTGCACCGTTCCTTTTATATACTGTCTCTACACACACACACACACACACACACACACACACACACACACACACTAGACAACAGTAACGTAATGTTGTTTTTCCATAAATTCTGTGCCTCGATCCCCTTTATGTGCATCTCTAAAGTCTTCGCCCTGCAGTTGGACGTCCCCGTGGTGAACACGTTGTTCTTTTTTGCCCTTACACATAGTGTGCAATACATTTGATCACTTTTTTTTTTTTTTTCTTTTTAATTTTCCAGGTCCCGACAAACTTATTTTTGTTGTGGCTGACCGGTTTCTCTTCTTGGCTTACGGGTGTAAAAGTGACATTGTCGGATGGCGTAGGCTCTGGATGGGTTGGGAGGCTAGATGACGACAACTCCGGCTCGGGGGCACCTGCACGGGCCGGGGATGCTGGCGGAGGATCGGATGGCGGCAACTCAGACTCGGGCCTAGAGCCAAGGGCAAGACTCGCCGGCAATACACTTTTTTCCATCCCAGGACCCGGCTTTGCTGGCGGCGAAAAAAAATCCCACCAGCCTCCTTTGCCACTCCAACAGAGGGATGTCATTTTCCTTTTTGTCAAACGATACAAATATTGGATCTTCTCTCAGTTTTTTTTTTTTTTTGGACGAAAAAATACAGGAATAGGAAGCTGTAAAAATAACAAGTTGCTAGACAAAAATCCACTTTTTTTTTCTAACGTTGGCTCAGGGAAATGAAACGTCTGTAGAGTGGGAGAGTGAAGAGTCTGCAGGTGAAGAAAATCCCTTCTATATCTGTCTCACTTTCTTTACTGGCTCTTAGTGTCTACAGTAATCCATCGGCTTATGAATGAACGTGACATTTGCACCCTCCAGCTGTGCAATATATAAAGACGTATGAACTCTTCACTGATTGGCTGGTTGTGAGTCGCTCTAGCAGGTAACTGTGTGTGTGTGTGTGTGTGTGTGTGTGTAAGATCTCTTGGGTTTGTGTTAGTGCTGACCGTCTGGCAGAAGACGACGTCGCGGCGGTACTGCAGTGACAGGTCCATGGCTATGGTGGGGGCGCTGTCCTGCATCAGGAGGAACACCATGGACTTCTTGGCCTTGTCGCTCATCATGGCGACGCACTCGGTGAGCGTGGTGAGGAGCGGGTACAGCGCCTCGCTCCACTCGCCTGTGAACAGACACAGAGAGCGTAAATACATTACAGAGGTTAGACTAAACACAATGCAATCTGACTTTATTGGAGATGTGATGTTAAGTGTGAATCATTTCAAATAAAGTGGTTTCTTATAAGATCTTCTAGGGGCTGTTAAGACAGAAACAGAAAACAAATGAAACAGGGAAGCAACAGGAAAAGCAGAAGCACTTCGTCTCTTTCTTTATACGGAACTGGGAGAATTAAAATGCCGTACATATGCCAAATGGACATTGACACACAAATACAACAAGCTAACCATATTTCAAAAGAAGAGTCCATTTGAGTGAAATTAAAGGGGAATAAAAAGCAAAAAGTCAAGTAGTTACTTAAATATTTCACTTGAATATAATATTAAGCTCCAGTCTTAAGTTCTTTGCTTTTTCCAACAGAACATACAGTAATGTAGTGTCTTCCTAATATAGCCCAATAAGTGTGTTGTCTCATAGCGGTTACATCATGTAATCCTCAAGGGTTTTTCTGGGTAGAATGCCTTATTTGATTGTGTGACCCGAACATGTTGAAAAAAGAAATTGGCATAGAAATGAACTGGTTGCATTTACAGCAATCCAACTATACAATTAGATTGGTATTGTTTCTGAAAATACCTTGTCAAAACATATTAACAAGACCAACTCAAGAAAAATGACAGTGCCCTAATCTGATACTCAAATATGAAACCAGAGTCTTGGAGAGTGGGTAAAGGCGCAGAGAAGCGTGGCACGGACAGCAGCTCTTACCTGGGTACGCCTCCTCCGCACAGGGTGTTCCATCTGGGGACGGAGGTGCAACATGCATGATTAGCTGCACCGCGAGCCAACAGGGCGCCACCACACTCCAAACCAGGGTCAGAGATCTATACAACAACATTCAGCCTACATCTTTTAAGCTGGATTTGTTCTAATTATTCAAATGAGGTGCCTGCCAATGCTTTGTCTAACCTCTAAGCAGAGGTGCAACTGTTACTAAGTACAACATTTAATCAAGTCATGTAATTCAGTTACTTCACTTCTACTCCACAACATTTAGGAGGGAAAACATTGAATCTTTTTATCTGAAGATACTTTAGAAATCGAGGGGTGTGCAAGAATAACATAATAAAGATTTCACCTCATCCAATTAAAACAGAATTCTGCATTGTAGACTTTGACTTAAAATGCTTGAGGCTCTTTCCCGATTATAATAACTTTTGCTTAAGAAACATTTCCAATGAAGGACTTGGTATCAGTTGCCATCCTTAAAAAAAGACCTGAATACCTTATCCATCTCTGCTTATTCAATAGCCAGCAGCATTTTGATGTGAAAGTCTGGATAGAGATGTGACCCTGGTTCAGTACAACATGTAGAGTAAGCACAATATCTCAGATACAACCGCATGGAGCAGCACTAACAGAAGCAAAGCTAGAGAGGAAACACTTTCTGCTTAAAGCTACAGAGACGCTGCAACAGTGTGGACAAACCAATGAGACAAAGACTGCACACAAACTTAAACTTCACATTTGTCAGTTTTCTCTCATGATAGCCAAAAGATGAATAACTAGAAAAATACCCGTAAGTAAAGAAAATGTATTTAAGAATCTTGAAATGAAAAAGTGTTGACAAAGGAAGAAAAACTAACATTTTGAATAAGAGATGAAATGAACCTACAGGAGTCTTGTGCAGAGGAGAGGGCGGGCAGAGAGGAGGAGGTCGGTGGAGGTGATGATCGTGGAGGTAATGATGAGGATGATGAAGATGGTAATGAAGGAGATTTCTCTGATAAACTTCCTGGGTTGATCCAGAAAGCTCTTTTTCCTTCATCTTTTCACAGCCATACACATTGATGTCAATTTATACTCTTTAAAGTCTATTATTGTGAATCACTAATGGGGCATTTCCACTGCAGGGCCTCGCACGGCTTAGTACGGTATAGTTAGGCCTTGGTAGGCCAGGCTCACTTTGTGCTGCGTTTCCATTACAGTTTAGGAACTGGGGCAGTAACTATAGTAACGCAGTGTAGGCGGGGCCGTGACGACATCTTCAATGCTAAACACAAAACCAACATCAGCCGTTAGCTGCTAGCCCTCAGAGCTCACAGCTCCTCATATCTGTTCAGAAACTAGACAAAAGTTAAACAGGTACAAACCACAGACTGTCTGTGTCATGGTGAATACAGTCGCTGGTTTCTTTATGTCTGTATAGGCCGTTGTTGTGAGTGTGGACGGTCGGAGCATATGCTGCGTTAGCTTAGCCGATCTCCATTCAGAAAACACGCTTTTTAAAAGGTTTTTCGCCTGCCGTCTGTCTGCAGACTTGTCAAAGCATTAGTTCATGGTTTTTACTAACCGGTATCAGTATGTTGTTACTTCGGCATCATTTTGAAACGTGTATTATAATTAAATCACGGTCAAATATGTTCATCTGGTTGTAGTTGCCAGCGATTCTCTCACTAGTTTAGCATACTCAGCCCGGTTGTTGGCCCGGAAAGAACCTCAATTTTGGAGAGCCAGAAAACTGTGAAAAAGTACCCGCTAGCCGGAACTACGCCTAGTGGAAACGCAACCAGAAACGGGCCGGGCACGGCACGCTTACACCACGCTGTAGTGGAAATGCGCCATTATATACATTTTAATTTTTAGACTTTTTTTGATAATGTGTTGTTTAATTCGTCTTTGAGCTATTTTGTTCTTTTTTTACTTACTTGATTTATGTTAACAATAGGATCACACATTATTACAAATAAAACATATTACTGAGCAAGCAAAATAAAACAAATGCGAATAAAATACAAACTTTAATGACTTTAGAAAATAGTTTGGATTGCATAAAAACTTTTTTCAGCTACAAGTGATGCATTGCTAATCAGAATTTATTTTTAAATATACTTTTTGTTGCATAATCAAACCTTAAGCAAAGGAATCTCAAAAAAAAGAGAGAGATTTAACTTATAAGGATAAGATTGTCATATAAAACCATGCAAAATATTTTTCAGCCTAAAAGCTGAATTACTACACAAACAGAAAAAGAACATTGAGGGTGTGTGTTACCTTTCTTGCTGGCCCCAACCTGCAGCTCAGTGTGTGCACTGTCCTGACTGCCGACGCTCGGCCTCCTCTCCTTCTGCAGCAGCTTGTCCACGCGCTGGATGATGCACTCCAGAGATTTGTCCACATTCACCCAAACCTTCTCCTGAAACGGGACGGACAAGAGCATCGTCATCCATTTACCAGAGCTGTGCAAGAAAGGCTAATGGAGTAATTACACCAGGGAGAAGAACAGCGCTAGATGGGATAGAAGATGCATGAGCGATGAGATGAATCACATCATTATGCAAATCACGGAGCACGTCTCCATTTTTTTTGCCTCATTTTATGTCATGCAAGCCCAGAGCTTGATTACATAACTATAACACCGGCTGCCTGGGCAAAACATCGGTGGTTTGAACTAATGATGTCACATTTACAACTATGTTTCATAGTTCATACTTTCTTTTTGTGTTATAAAAGTCTTTTACAATACAAGTTTTTAAACCCAATACATGGATATTGGATGAAAACAAAAAAATATATGCATGTTTTTGTGCATTGACAAATGAAGATACTCATTAAGTGACTGTTATGTGAATAATATATCAAAATAAATCCTTTGGTTGTGGTAATTCCTAATGAACTCACCCACTCCTCTTCATGCCAGTCCACCTGCAGCGAGGAGCGGCTGTTGCTGCCACTCCACTTGGCGAGCAGCGTGTCCTGGTCGTTGCGCAGGACTACTTGTTCCGAGTCGGCGGAGGGAGACGCTTTGGAGGCGATGTACTCGGGCCGCGCTGCGTTCAGGGCCTGAATGGCTGAAGCCAGCAGCTTACAGTCGCAGACGGTCACCAACTGACGTGTCTGATTGGGAAAGGCAATATAATGGCAATAGATGGCACCACAAGGCGAGTGATATTGATGATGTTTAAGTGTTCCTTTAAGTGCTCATGAATGACAGATGTTGTAAAGAACCTTATCAGCCAGAATAGCGAGCGTCCTCTGCAGTCCGCTGGCAGATCGGTCTTTCGCGGCTCGGGACAGCCTCTCTGCGTAGTAGCTGACCTGCGTCTTCAGCGTGTTGATGTGGGCGATGATCTCTTTGGCTTTGACTATGTCCTGGGGAATGTAGACGATGGATTGCGAGCTGGAGAGGGCGCTGCTTTAGAAAACAAAGACACGTGTTTTTTAGCAGAATGGCTTTTCCTAAGTATGCTGATGACCCTCTCCTCTATAAACTGTAAAAAGTGGACTGTTGACTAACACAAATGCCCTTTAAACTAACAACATAGCATTAGCATGCACATGCCTATGGTGGCTTAAGTAAGGACTTCAGATAAACAGAGACATTACATTGCAATAAAACGAGGCTAGGGGTGATTCCTTTCAATTTATAAATTCAGATAGACCATTTGTATTAATGCTGGCTTTATGTTTTCTGAATTTATCAAATGAGCGTTCTTTCAACAAACTTTGTGTCCTGTGTTACAAAATGTCTCAGTGTGCATTGCAACATACATCGAAGCTACTTTCAATACTGTTAATGCCAAATGCATCACGTGACATTAGTATGTGCAGATCACATTCATTCAGTTTAAACCTAGCGACAGTTCCTCCAAAAGGTTTGACAATTATGAAACTTTGTTACATATACAGTGAATGTGTTTGTTGTGTTGGTGCAAAGCAGTGAGAAACAAACAGTGTACAAACAAATGAGAACAAGCAAAGCAATGCAACAACTCACCATTCCTCCTCATATACGCTGATCAATAAAAAGTAACAAAAAGAAAATTAAGAGGAAGCCAAAGAAATGAATAATGTAATAGTTAAAGAAACGATGCATTTGTGGGGGGGGGGGGTTTATGTAAAGAAGACTTCAGGGTAGCCAAAAATAAAATAAAAGATACATCATCCACACAAAATAATTCATTATGGAGCAAATGTTTTTAAAATTTGAAAACATTTAAGTAAAAGAATAGAATAAGAGGAAATCATTGCGATTAAGGGAAAAAAACATGCAAATGAGTTTTATTTTTCTAATAAATGTTCAATATTGGTACATTTGTAACTCTTTCCCCCCCAAACTTACTGTTTCTTGGCCTCCTCAAACTTCTGGACGAGTTTCCTCAAACCGCTGTTTTTAAAACCCTGGCAGTGAGCCGCCGGAGCTCCGATCGTTATCACATCGTACGTGTGTTCTGGAGAGGAAATTAGGTTTTATTAATATCTTAAATACATATTTAGTCATTAAAAAAGTAAAAATATAAACAGAAAATGGAATAAAAATATAAGCATAGGAAGCCAAAGTAAAAATGTACAATAAAAAAAACCATGAAATAGTAAAAAATATGCAATCAAATATAAAATAAATAGAGTAAAAATGTTAACACAAACATAGGAAGTTAAGTAAAAATTCAAAACTGTTGTACTGTGAAATACAATTTACACATTGGTATATAAATATGAATAAAGACAAATAGTAAATGATTCACCAAACTAAATGCATTGTAGGTTTGAACCTGCTTAGCAATAGATAAGGTTGGGATTTATGTGTTGTGATGCTGGTTTTTAGATTTGCTCCTCCATGTTATCATGGGGGGTATAGGTCTCACCGAAGCCCAGCTGATCCTGCACCCTCATCCTCTGAACGTGGAGGTTGGTTGGCATGAACTCGAGCTTCCTCTCCGCCTTCAGGTTGCTGGCTTTGAACGAGGGACCTGACGTACATAACAAAGGATGGGTACACACAAAAACAAGAGCATGGAAAAGAATGATATGTGGCGAACAGATCAGGGAAACAGCTGTAGCTTGTTTTAAAATGATATTATTACTTATCAAAGGCTACGAAGAAGTAACCTAACCTCTGTAGTTGTTGAGGTCCGACAGTGTTTCCTGGTAAGCCAGTATTATGGACTGGTACTGAGAGACAATCTGTCTCCGAAGATTCTCCCAGCAGGGGGACAGCTCTCCCAGCTCCTCCAGCTCACACACCCTGCAGAGCAAGTGATATGAGACTTCTGAAGATGCATTTCAAATGACTCTTTTTCAAGCAAAAATGACAGATCTTCTCTGGCTTGTTTCTGCTTTTCACTATATCTGGAACAAACTCGAAGAAAACTGCAGGTCTGTTGCACCAGTTCGAAACCCGCCGCTGCGTCTGTAAAGCCGTTTTGTCCTTGGGCAAGACCAGTGGCGTTTTGATATGTACAAAAGTGGTGGGGCACAAGAAACTTAGATGTCTATATATAAGCTTCTGCAGTGACGTGCAGTGAGGTTCATGGCTGGTGAGGCTCTGACTCTTCAGGTTTACAAATATTATATTTTGACCTAAATCAAAATATAATATTATTTTCAAAAGCTTTTTTTGTCTGATGCTTCGATTAATTTTAAACAGACAGTTCAACAAAAGGATACCCAAAAAATGTAATTGTATCATTTAAATATTGAATTGTTCTCTCTTAGTAAGATCCCATTTTCAATCAAATTGCGGTCTTACTTTGACTTGAAGATGAATTNCGGAACGGGATCCTCTCATGCCTTTCATACAGCGAATTTTTACGTACTTTTTGCGGTAAAAAGTTTTACGGCTGAAACAGCCCCCCGCCCGGTAAGGTACTGCTAACAGACACGGTTTTAAGGACTTCTAGACTCTTGCTATACACTGGATGGTGTGTTATCCCCCGCGATCACTCGTCAAAAAAAAATTTTAATGCAAAAAAAAAAGACAAATGTTAAGCGTTTTTCCAACACCCGAAACTTCCTACAGGGTTCAAAACCGCAGCTTCGAGTAAAATAGATAGCGCTACATTGTTTAACAATATCGGTGCAGGTGTAAACCCGCGGCCCACGGGCCGCATGCGGCCCTTTAAGCCCTCTGCTCTGGCTCCCTTGAGCTTAGAACAAAATAAGAAGGATATAAATAAAGTATTTGTAGGAGTATTTATATTTTGTTGCACGGTTGAAAATGTTTCGTATCTTGTATTTTGAGGTGATACTGTGACACATAAATAAAAACAAAACGGTTTTAATTAGGTCAACTAAAATATGCGTCACATCCTGCTACGGTCCCGCGCGAGTGCCTTTTCTTGGAGGCGCTCCATTCTTACCTACCCTACCTTTAACTCTTTTTAGGGTGCAGCTATATGTTTTATTTATTTCAAAGTGGGCTCATTTTAATAATATTTTTTTTTCCTTCAAATGTGCAGAGGAATCCCCAAGTGCTGTGTTTAATTTATTTTAAAGTAGGCCTGTGTATTATCTGTAATTCTCCTTATAGGAGTTCTTTGTTTCTTATTAGAGGTTAACAGTTTTATATAATGTAATAAATAGCCTAATAAATGCAAAAAAACTGTAGTTTTTGTCTGATATAACAATAAATACAACTTAGCTATCAAGCTATGAAATATGTTTTGCGGCTCCAGACAAAAAATGTTTGGGGAAAAAGGAGCAAAATGGTCTTTTGGTCAAAAAGGTTGCAGACCCCTGACTTGACAGTGAGAGGGAGGGGCATGATCGGGTTTTGTCCCACATGGCTCTAAACAGCTCAATAGGCACACACTGTAGACACTAATTAGGAGAACACAGACTAAAACAGCAATGTACAGACAAATCAGATGATTAAATATGATCTTAAAATATATTTTATGCATTTTTTTTTAATCTTTTTTTTTTAATACTTTCTGCTGACACTAGGTGGGGCTGTGCCCCACCTGCCCCTAATGACCAGTCGCCACTGGGCAAGACACTTCACCTGAATTTGCTCCTGTGGGTATGGTCCACAGTACGCACAGTACTGTCTGATATGTGTGTAATGTGTATTTGTAAAGCGCTTTGAGCTCTGGAAAAGCGCTATAATAAATATAAGGAATTATTATTACCTCTTTATAAAATCAACACTAAGGAATGTTTTATATGAAATCATATCTTACACTGTACTGAAACCCTTTCTGGTATTTTCTACCCGTTTTATTCATTTTTAGCTTGTTTTTTATTTGATTGGCTTTTGAATGACTTTTGAATGTTTTAACCCTTTGATGCCCGAGTGACTACACTCTTCCATAAGTGGGTCAAAAAGGACCCGTATTAGAATAATATGTGTTTTTATGCCATTTTTTATGCCTTTTATAATATTTGGTATTATATTTTGGTTCACACTAGAAATATTTTATATTACATTTTTCACTATTTATAATTTTAGACATTTTTTTTACATTTTGAAAAAAAAAGAAATTCCATAGAAAATGCATTCGGGTCATTTTTGACCCAATTATGGAAGCTTGGGGTAGTAATAGAAAAACTACAATTTCTTAAAATGTAAATTAAAAATTTGAATGGCATGATATCCAAAAGAGGTTTTTTGAGGAATAGCTGGAATATGAAATGATAAAAAAAAAGTAATGACAAAGATACTTCAAGAAAACCACCTCACCAGGTCCAAAAAGACCCACTTATGCATCTACAGTAAGGGTCATCTTATAATGTGTTTCTGTTGCAGTGTGTCAAAGGCTTTATTGTAAAGCACCTTGTTTTTGAAATGTGCTCTATAAATAAACTTGCCTGTTCTTCTGGTGACAGTAAATGGAATATCCTTGCCAACCACGTAGCCCTGAGTTAATTCTTTAGACATGTACAATAAATGTGTGTTAGTACCTGGCTGCATCCTCCTCCAGCAGCAGTTTGACAAACTGTCGGGGGATGTTTAACGAGAGGACGCTCTCTGCCATTTGCTCCAGCACCCGGAGGTGGTTCCCATCAGTCGTGGGGAAGCGGTACATCCTGGACATCGTGCCTCCAAACACTGAAAACATTGGAAATGAAATTAGTGTTGAATAGATTACGATGACTCTTCTTATGATATTGTTCTAGTTCCGCAGACAAACATATATTTTATCTTTAGATTCAATAATATGTGTTTATGAACTGAGCTGCTCTCCTTTAAACACGTTTTAGATGGAGTAGAAAACCTCATGAAACCAACACACACACCAACACAGATCCTATACATATGTTATTGTGCCCTCTCAGACATTTCACATTAGTGTTATTCTTGGATGAGCAATCTATCTCCGAGGTAAACAGATCTGTCCCACTCACTGGAGACAATCAATATATTTCAGCTGGATAACAGGATTGGTGGTCTGATGGATCGGTAAACAAGGAGCCATGCAGGCGACAGAGGTGGAGGACAGGAAGAGAGGAAAAAAAATGTCTTGTAATACTATGTATACTCATCTATATTTTAGTGTTCCGATTTCTACACAGTGTGGCATCGTACAAATGAAACCTTCACTAAAGACAGATTTAAGGTCCTTTTTCAAAATACATGAATTTGGGGATTATTGCTTGGATGTTGTTATAGCTGTGCTTTTGTCTGTGAGGAAATAACATGTCATTTTTCCTCTTTTGAAAATGTGCTTTTTGAAAACGTTTGGGATATGATTATTATTTGTTTTCAACTTCTGTTTTACCAAATGTCTGAAGTTTCTACTGCTAGCTTATCCGGCAGGGGCTCAGTCAGTAGGGGCTTGGACTGTGATCTGTAGGGTCGCCGGTTCAAGTCCCCGAACCGACCTAAAAATGGAGTGTGGACTTCTACTTGGAGAGGTCCCAGGTCACCTCCTGCCCTGCCGTGGTGCCCTTGAGCAAGGCACTGGACACCCTCCTTCCCCCTCACTCCCATTGCTCCCTGGGCGCTGTACAATAGCTGCCCACTGCTCCTAGTGCTAGACTCCTGGTGCTAGGATGGGTTAAAAGCAGAGAACACATGTCACTGTGTGCTCTGCATGTGTGACCATTAAAGAGGGGTTCATCCCTCCTAATTCTATTCTATTCCATATGTATTATTACTCATTCGTATCTATATATTTCAGAAATTGTTGTGATGCTTTTTCGTAAACTCGCTGAAATATTTAGAATCAAATGGGTATTTAAAATATGGAATAGACTAGCAGTAGTAGGAATAAAGATTGAAAGATTTATAGTGTTTTTGTTTTATTTGTACTTGTAATTGTTAGAGGAAATACATATTTTTCTTCTTTTAAGAGGGAAGTTGGAGAATTCACAAACTCTCTCAGGCTTGGGAATGCATAAAGCAAATGCTGTATCCAACCCTCCTGTTGTCCTGGGGTCATTTTTGACCCCAAAAGGAAATCTATTGCTGTCAAAAATAGGTTTTTAATTCATCAAATGGTCTGAAAATTATAGGGGTGGTTCAATACTATGCTCTTAACCGAGTAAATACATTTGAGTAATTTAATTGGAATTATGGGTGTTTTTATTGTATTTTATAACACCTTGAACCCTCTGGGGTCAAAAATGACCCCGCAGGACCAAGTGGAGCAATGGGGGCACATTTTTTCAGCATAATGCTGCACAACCCCCTGCCTGCTCCTCGGAGCACGCACGCACGCGCGCGCGCACGCACGCACGCACGCACGCACGCACGCACGCACGCACGCACGTGACGCACGCACGCACGCACGGCACGCACGCACACACACACACACACACACACACACACACCACACACCAACACACAACCACACACGACACACACACACACACACACACACACACACACACACACACACCACACCACACACAACACACACACACACACACACCACACACACACACACACACACACACACACACACCACACACACAACACACACCACACACACACAATGTATTCTTTGATGTATTGGATCAATCCAATTGGTCAAAGTCAAAAAACAAACAGGCCTTTTCCTCACAAATGTTGGGGCATTTCACCTTTCATTCTGAGAGAGACAGGCAGCAAAATGAGGGAGGCAGAAACATTTTGAGTGTGGAGGAGGTTCATTGAGCTAATCTTTAACCGTGTTATGGAGGAAAAAATAAACCGATGAGGAGATTCAGGGTCAAAGAGGAGGACACTCATGAAGAGGTGGATCGAGTGTAAGTTACAGACCAAATTCTTCCTCTGAAGAAGCCGCCCCCACATCGCCCCACTTCTGAAAATGGGAAGAAGTGTAATATTGAAATGGAGAAAAATGAACATGAAGAGGTAGTAGTAGAATCAGTAGAATAGAAGGAAGAAGTGTCAGAAGTGGAGCGCCACGTATTTTGAGGTATAATCCTCTCTTCTCCCCCCCCTCTCTTTCCGTGTGTGTTGATATTGTTTGTATATGTCATATTTTTATATAGTGTCTCTCCCTTTCTCTGTTTATATCTGTATACTTCTTCCATTTCTGATCTACCTCTTCATGTTCATTTTCCTCCATTTCAAAACCTCTTCCATTTCAGAAGTGGGCGCATGTGGGGGCTTCTTCAGAGGAAGAATTTGGTCTGAACTTACTCGATTCACCGTCTTCAGAGTTTCCTCCTCTTCTGACCCTGAATCCTCCTCACGGTTTATTTTTTGCCGTCCATTTAACACGGTTAAAGATTAGCTCATGAACCTCCTCGCACACTCAAATGTTTCTGCCTCCTCATTTTGCTGCCTGTCTCTCTCAGAATGAAAGGTGAAATGCCCCATACATTGTGAGAAAAGGCCTGTTTGGTTTGACTTGACAATTGATTGATCCATACATCAAAAGACATACATTGTGGTTGTGTGTGTTGTGTGTGTGTGTGTGTGTGTGTGTGTGTGTGTGTGTGTGTGTGTGTGTGTGTGTGTGTGGTGTGTGTGTGTGTGTGTGTTTGTGTGTGTGTGTGTGTGTGTGTGTGTGTGTGTGTGTGGTTGTTGTGTGTGTGTGTGTGTGTGTGTGTTTGTGTGTGTGTGTGCGGCGTGCGTTCGTGCGTGCGTGCGTGCGTGCGTGAGGGTGCGTGCGTGCGTGCGTGCGTGCGTGCGTCTGCGGCGCGCGCTGTTGCGTGCGTGCTCCGAGGGAGCAGGCAGGGGGTTGTTGCAGCATTATGCTGAAAAAATGTGCCCCATTGCTCCACTTTGTCCTGCGGGGTCATTTTTGACCCCAGAAGGTCAAGGTGTTATAAAATACAATAAACACCCCATAATTCAATTAAATTACTTCAAATGGTATTTACTCGTTTAAGAGCATAGTATTGAACCACCACCTATAATTTTCAGACCATTTGATGAATTAAAAACCTATTTTTGACAGCAATAGATTTCCTTTGGGGTCAAAAATGACCCCAGGACAACAGGAGGTTGGTATACAGCATTTGCTTATGCATTCCCAAGCCTGAGAGAGTTGTGAATTCTCCAACTTCACTCTTAAAAGAGAAAAATATGTATTTCCTCAACAATTACAAGTACAAATAAACAAAAACACTATAAATCTTTTCAATCTTTATTCCTACTACTGCTAGTCTTTCCATATTTTAAATAACCCATTTGTTCTAAATATTTCAGCGAGTTTACGAAAAACCACAACAGGTTTCTGAAATATTATAGATACGACATGAGTAATAAATACATATGGAATAGAATAGAATTAGGGAGGGATGAACCCCTCTTTAATGGTCAACATGCAGAGCACACAGTTACATGTGTTCTCTGCTTTTAACGCCATCCTAGCACCAGGAGTCTAGCACTAGGAGCACGTGGGCAGCTATGTACCAGCGCCCAGGGACAATGGGAGGGTGAGCGGGGGAAGGAGGGTGTCCAGTGCCTTGCTCAAGGGCCCACGGCAGGGCAGGAGGTGACCTGGGGAACCTCTCCAAGTAGAAGTCCACCACTCCATTTTTAGGTCGGTTCGGGGACTTGGAACCGGCACCCTACAGATCACAGTCCATAGGGCTTTTTTTTTCTTTTTTTTTTTTCCCCCTTTTTTTGGCCGGCGCGCGGCCCCCCCCTCTCGACTGAGCCCCTGAACGGATAAGCTAGCAGTGAAACTTCAGACATTTTGTTTAAAACAGAAGTTGAAAACAAATAATAATCTATCCCAAACGTTTCAAAAAAGGCACATTTTCAAAAGAGGAAAAATGACAGGGTTATTTCCTCACAGACAAAAGGCACAGCTATAACAACATCCAAGCAATAATCCCAAATTCATGTATTTTGAAAAAGGCACGCTTAAATCTGTATTTAGTGAAGGTTTCATTTGTACGGATGCCACACTGTGCTTAGAAATCGGAACACTAAATATATAGATGAGATATACATAGTTATTACCAAGACATTTTTTTTCCTCTCTTCCTGCCTCCACCTCTGTCGCCTGCATGGCTCCTTGTTATCCGATCCATCAGACCACCAATCCTGTTATCCAGCTGAAATATATTGATTGTTCCAGTAGTGGGATCAGATCTGTTTACCTCGGAGATAGATTGT